CGATTGTAGACTGCCCCTCTCTCTCTACAGCTCGCCTCCAGCTGTTCGTCGTGACGTATAGGTCCCACGTCGCACTCCTGTTGTGGTGTGAGGTCAATCTTAAGTTCAGCTAAATTAATGAGGAGTTAGGGAACAATTTAACATACAAAAAAATCAAAAATACAGCCCAGTAAAAGTCCTAGACCATACTGACCCAAGCCCCGCCCCGACACCCCCCCCCAAATACAGGTATAGCTAGTCTAGGTCGATCAAGATCGATTACTATACTGATGGCTGATAATTTTCTGTGGATTTGTTATTCGCAGCGGTACGTTGACCCACTCCGGTGTGTCATATCGCGTCGTAATACGTAAACAAATGTACGGGCTCCGTAATGGTTGTCTAGTTGCGTGTTAGTTGGGTATGTCGTGTAGAGAAAGAGGTGTAATTCACAACCTGTAATCTTAACTGATAAGAACTGACAGTGTATTCACCGCGTTGACTTCGCCATAACGCGATTTCCCTTTAATAAAACTGGCTTCTCTAAAGCTAAAACGGGCGGTTGCCCTTGAGACTGCAGCGGTAAAACACACGAAGCGCCTACGCGAGCCGAGGAGAGCTGACGACGAGCCCAGACGAGCCAGTCGAAGGCCTACTCCTCCGTAAGCAAGCTGGTTGAATGTCATCTATTGTAGTGTTTGTAAAAATTGTCCCCGGTATTATCACATTTATTACAAACAAAACCGTCAATGTTGACTTACATTACAAAAGATGAAAAAAATGTAGACTACTTCCGTAAACGGAAGTAGTCTACCTTTTTCAGAACTGGTTGTTGAATTCATAAAGAATATCGATACGTCCCGTACGTTCGCTCGATTGTGTTTGTTCTTGTTTGTTTGTTCACTTTACTTCTTATTTTAACTTTAACATGTTATATTATAACACGACCAAGTAGAATATTAAGTCAGATCTCTTATGTGGTCTGTCGTAGATTCTGGACGTTTTTAGATTTACAAGATCCCCCTCCGGGGGGTTTGGGAAGCACCGTAAAGCAGGCGTGCGTAAAAAGTCCCGTTAGAGATAACCCGAGTCCCGGTAGACATTCGATTAAAACAGTACGTGACTCGGATAATATTATGAGAAACATGTTTACATTCCTCTTGAGTACACGTATTTATAGGATTCACACATGTAGTGACACATCTGATTCCACGAGATAGGATAAGACGTTGCGAAAATTGTTTATGTCCATATCGATCAGATCCAGCTAGTTCTAGCTAATGATATGACTACCGACTATTAAAAGACACCTAAACAATAAGCGTCGCCATGCAACTGGGTGAGGCCACACAGTATAGCGCAGCATTATGCATTTGTTTACATGCCCGAGGCATTACCAACAGATCAACGCACAATCAACCCATACAGCACATCTCTTTCTCCACATTAAGTGTTGGACATTAGAATTGACTATTCTTGACTGTCACATAAGTGGCGCAACTGAAGCGGTATTGCGCTAAAGGGAAATTATTTTGACCGAAGAGATTTCGATTTTGCCGGCCAACGGGAACTCTGACGTCGCCATTTTGTGTGCTTCGCGGATGCGCTCGGCTCCTCTCGACTGCTGCTCGGGTCTGCTCGGTCAGCTTCCGGATGAGGAGGCATTCGTTCGACCAACTTACAGTAGATAACATCACAAACATTTTTAACAGGGGCCATAATAGTGTAAATAATGTTTGTTTTGGCAGTTACAACTGAATGTAATGTTTTCTACTTTTTTTACATCTGATGAAGGCATTTGCCTTCATCAGATGGAAAAAGTCTTGACCAACAACTTAAGTATTTCTTATAGCTATGCAGGGCATGCAAGCGAGCTAACACAAACAAGAACAAACAAACAAGTGAAATGAAGAATAAAATTGAAATTGTACAATATAATATTGTGCTGGTTCATCTTATAATTCAGTCTAGAGAATACACCAGACAGCATCTAAGACCTGCAAAAATCTAAATGTTCTAGGGGGAGGCCCCCCAAACCCTTCGTGGCATTTCGTCCGCACGCATTTTTCAGGGCAATCTCTATTGGGCTCAGGGCCATCTGTAAGCTAATTTTGTCATGCACTGAGCCTATTATAATACTCTTTGTACAAATGTAAGGAGAACTCATGTGCATAAATATCCTAAGTGTGTACATCACTGTGTAGACTAAGGTGCTCTATCCTATTCTGCAACGCTTTTAATATCGGAGCAGCATGTTGGCAGTTGGCTCCGAAAGGCTACATAACAACATTTGGCCATGCTCTGAAAATCAAAGAATACATCATAACACTTTAGTTAAGCTTGCATAATGCCAATAGAGTTCTTAAACGTGGACATTATAAGGAAAGTCTCTGCTCTGTTGCCTCTGTGTTTAATGTGACTTGTTTCTTCTCTCCAGTGGTGAACAAATCCAAGATGCTGTCAGCTGGAGTTGCAGACGTGGTGTTGAAGTTTCTGCAATCAGAGATGCCTCCAGTCCAGTTCAAACTCCTGGGGACGTTACGCATGCTCATCGACACACAAGGTAGAGCTTTTATCAGGTCTTTATCTTGGAACCAAATCCATTGAATTGTTCACGGCGAATATGTCCACTGAAGTCTTAAAGTCTGAATTCTATATATTTTGAAAACATGGTCAGTCGTCATGTTACATAAAGCAGCTGATTACGTTTGAAGTCTGTGTGAAAGCAAATGTGATAAATATTCCAAGTAAATCCTTAGTCTCTTTCCCTCAGCGTTATTTAAGCTTTGGTGGGTTAATGAGAGATTCTAAGCCATCTCATTTCTCCGTCACGAAGACACACAGATATAGTAACTGCTGCTCAAGTCTGACAGTGGACAGATGGTTTCATATAAAGAACATAATAAAAAGTGAAATAAAAAATGCCGCTTAACCAAATGAAAAATGGATGGGTATATTTATGCAAATGACTGATAATAATTATTTCCTGGACTTTGTGGTGTTTGTGCTGTTCCAGCTGAAGCCGCAGACCAGCTGGGAACCAATGGGAAGCTGGTGGAGCGGCTGGTGGAGTGGTGTGAAGCCAAAGACCACGCGGGGGTGATGGGGGAGTCCAACAGGCTGCTGTCGGCCCTCATAAGGCACAGCAAGTCCAAGGTCAGACACAGTCCTGACGTCTGAAGAACCGTTCATTATGCAAGTGCTGCGTGTCGCTGAGTTAGAGGGGAGGCTCACACTCTCCCAGGGGGGGGGGGGTGGAGGGAAGGACCTGAGGTGGAAGGCGCTCTTAAGAGAACAGGAAGTTGCAGCTGCTTTGAAAACCTTTAGGCCTGCCACAATTAGCTTTAACATTTGTGTGACACATATATTTGGATTCATAGTGAGTTTCCATTATGAGTAAAATATAATTAATGAGGCCATAACCTGCTTTTTGGGTTCTCCCTCTCCTGTAGTCTGTTCTATAGCTTTCTGTGCATGTAAATGGTCTGCAGAGGCTAAAATCCCTGTGTTCCCTCCAGAGGGAGTTTCTCTCCCACACACTCTCGATGGAGTTTCAGGCAGGGCCCCCCCCCTGCCTGAAACTCCTCCATCGGACTCCTTTGTTTACTTCAGGAACACAGTGACATCACTAAGTAACACTTAGCTACTGCTCCAACACATTGTATGTGATAGGCTAAGGGGCAGGACATCTGTAAGCGATTGACCAATCACAACAGAACCGGCCAGCTAACCAATCAGAGCAGACTAGGCTCTGGTTTCAGACAGAGGGTGTAAAGAGTATGAGAAAAATAAAGCGCTTTTTGAACATTAAAGCATGGAGACTGTCCAAGTGGTCGCATAAATGACGTTAAATGACGTAAATTGTACCTGAAAATGAGCAGAACTTGTCCTCTTTACCCCTTATAGCTCTCTAGCTTGTCTGAAAGCCCTCATGTTTTATACATGTCATAATTCATCTTCATTATCAAGATAACCCTACTTACTTCAACATTATACTTCCTTTTTACATTCCCCAAATCCCCCACATTAGGAAACTCTAATACCATGATAATCCCCCATATTCAAAGTAAGATACAGAAGAAAAGGAGTGACAAAATCCCCCCAAAATATATGTTTATCTTGCACTATCAACCATCTTCTGAAAGTTTGAGTATTCCCGTAGCACTGACAGCCTCTTTCTCCCAGACATATAGATATTTGCAGTGTGATTTCTTTTTTTAAAAAGGCCAAATTATTAACAATGAAATATTCCCTTGGATTGTTTTGGAGGTTTTGTCTCAGTTTGTCTGAAGGAGTCCATACTTTAAAATCCTCTAGTCTTGAGTTAAGAAAATAATTCAAAAAATGTGAATTAAAATCTAATTTAATCTTTAAAATAGTTGTAATACCTCAATAGTTATTCATTCTGTAGGTCCATCTAAGCATTGATTCATTATTGTGATTTTTGTTCTTCTTTTGCAGGAAGTTGTTAAAACTGTCATCCAGGGAGGAGGAGTCAAGCATTTAGTCACCATGGCAACTAGTGAGCATATGATTATGCAGAATGAAGCACTGGTGGCTTTGGGGCTCATAGCAGCACTGGATTTGGGTGAGAAGAAGAAATACATCCCACATCTGTAATCACCTCTTGTTTATTATGGTTTTAGTTTTGCACTAAAGAAACTGTTTGCATTCTACGTCAGGATTGTTTCAATGCTTTTTATTTAATAGGAACATCTTTAAATTCAAAGACTTTGTAACTGCCTGTGATCATTTTCATGAACTCTTAATGATTCTCTCACTGCTACCTCGAAGGCAGGGACATTTCCATCACCTGATACAGCATTAGTAGAATCTCTTATATTTTTATTTTTGTATACATAATTTAATACGCTGAACGCACAACAAAAATAATGTTACCAGATATATGATCCACCTTAAAGAAAAAAAGTGAGAGAAACCATTTATGATGGGAAAAGAGTTCCTTTTTATTCTTTATTATCTGCCTTTTCCTTATGAAAACATTAAACTAAGAATCCTGTGACTTCTGAGAACAAAAGCAGAACACATTTAAGATCTCCTCAAAGTAAGTCTCTTCAGTACACACTGTAGAAACTGTCCTCATGGTGTGGTCCTAACATCTGGACTCGGTGTGTGTTCCAGTTGCAGCTGAGAAGGACTTTGTGGTCTCCAGCCTTGTGTCGGTGCTCCACAAGCTGCTGTCAGACGAGAGGAGCGCCCCAGAGATCAAATACAACTCCATGATCCTCATCTGTTCCGCCATGGGATCAGGTGGGACTCAGAGCGCACTGTGGAACATCTCTACCTTTCAAATCAGTCTTACTTAGTTGGATATTAAGACGTTATTTACAAGATTCTTATTCCTAATATTCCCCCCCCCCCTCTCTGTTTCAGAGCCTCTCCACAAAGAGGTCCAGAGCCTGGCGTTCATCGACGTGGTGTCCCGGCTGCGGGCCCACGAGAACAAGACGGTGTCCCACCAGGCGTCACTCACAGAGCAGCGGCTAACAGCCCAGAGCTAAAGGACTGTCCCCCCCCCGACAACCCCCCAATGCCTGCCTGACCACCTGATCACCCAATGACTCCCCATGACTGCTCCCCCCCTGCCCATCCTCATTTGCCAAGGTACGATGTCTCGTTAACTGCCAGCCAATCACAGTCATTCCCTTCCCCCTCCACTAGGGTTAGACTGGTGTCTATCCGGATTGCCAATACTTAATCATAAAATCTTTATTTTAAATAAGAATTTAATCGTTGTAAGAGTGGAAATGCCTCTGAAACTGTTTTTAGACTACTGTGGGAGACCAACACTCTGAAAGCCATATTCATTTATTTTGGTTGGTTAGCACGTCCTTAATGCAGGTTTACAAACCAACACTGATCACCTTTCATTACTGGTTTATTTTCTATCTTTGTGTACTGATCATCAGTCTAACCCTGGGCCCATCATGTACCAAGGCGCCATAAACAGCCAACGCAATAGATAAGAGACTACACTCTTTACGACCATAGCTGTGAGACCATCCGCAGGTAACCCACAAGTGAAAAATGTGCACAAAAGAACAAAAAAAACCTTCCTGTTGTGATTTTTATTTTATTTTTAAGAAAAGCAGCCAACCATGATGTGCCCAGTCGTGTCCCATGTAGCTCGAGTATAAATTGACTAGAAACTTTGCATGTTTTAGTCCTATTGAAGGTGTGACAGTGTTCATTCGACCTCTCCACCGCCTGCAGAACACCGCCTGCCCCCCCACTCCCACCTCCAGTGTTGTACACTCCTTTTTGATTTTTGCACTTGTTCTGTAAGACCTAGAGATTTGATCAGATTTTTTATTCCACTGTTGTGCAAACATACAACAGCTAGAGGCTCAATCCCATCGCTGAGGACCATGTGAAGCAAATAGTTGAGAAAAGTCTACTTTTGTTAGTCCAGTTAAGCTGAGAGCGGCCGAGTTGAAGACCAAAATAGGGAATTGATAAATGAAAATAATAATATGCTGGTAGTCTTATACTGCAGGTTGCTCAGAACAACATCAATCTAATCAAATCATGGCAGTTTGCTGATAAGTTTAACATCTTGCGCACCCAGATTTCTACAGATAAGTGTTCCTTGTAGCACTATGGTCAAACTAAGGAAAATACCAATCAAAAGGTAGTTTTTTTAATGGGCATGAGATCGTGGCGTTAGCAATGAAGAGCAGCCAAGAACATGAAAACCTAAAGTAAAAGTAGGCAAAGAATGTCACAAGTGTGTTTTGGACTGCAGGACATTTTAAAGTGTGACAAAAAGCGACCACTGTTCCTACATGTCTACAGTTTGAGAGTCTCGTGGAGCAAAGTCTGGGGTCCTGTGAGAGCAGATACTGAGTGCAGATAGCAGCATACAACGCTTTATGTTGGACAGCTGGGTGTTCTAGTCAAAGGGAATTCTGCTAACATGCACACGTCAGCATGTCCAACACGTTACGACGCTCCATCAGCCACCATGTTTACTGGTCTGGGACAATGCTTATTTTCTTCTTGTTTTAAAAAAAAAAACAGAAGATATGAATGGTTATTTATCAGATTTGTGCTCTTCTAAAGACACATGCCTGTGGAGATGTATCCATAGTAACTGCGTAAAATACTATAAACGTAAGTGTTTGTTGTAAATGTCATGAGTTGTACATTTGGAGGATTGTAACTCAGCAGATAATAAAAGATGATAGCTGGTGATGGCTGGTGTCTTCATTCTGGTACAACTCTAAAATGTGCTCCGTGTTCTTCTGTGTGCTACGTTTAGAGAGAATGTGAGCTGGATCAGCACCTCTAAATCTGAGGCCATTGTTTCCCTACAGATTTGTTTTTTTAACCTTTTTGAGCCGTTTTTTCTTTCCTTTGACCGCCTCTCATACTAGTCTTGATCTGGATTAATTTTGTCCAAAAGCCAGTCTGCATTTTTACTTTTCAAATATTTATCCATGGCTTTTCAACCTCTACGTGCATCACTTAACTGTCTTAGATTAACACTGCCATTATTGTGCTACCTACTGAGTTTGAATTAGCCAGTCTCTACGTTGCAGGCTGACATTGAAAATCACTGCTGTACAGGAAACCAATAGAATTTGCACTTGGAGTAGGGAATGAGTCCTTACCCCAAATCTAGGAGTCGGGTCTTGTTCTCAGTGAGGGGATGATGGAGCATGCCTCCTGTTCGGCACGTCCAGCTGGGAGGAGACCCGGGGGCAGATCCAGGACCAATTTGATTGATTGATAGATACATTTATTTTGAAGAAGTAAAATAAATAATTTACAAAACAAAAAATGTTGCAGGGCATAGTCATGTAAGAGAAAACAAAACAAAGGGACATTTACAACAACAGCATTAGCAACATAAACAGTCCCACATCTAGTGTTCGAAAAGGAGTGAGAATAAGTATAATTTATTTAATCTCACCCCCTTGTCCCTAAATTATTTATTTATAATCTATAAATAATAATTACTAATTATTATTATTAATAATCTTGTTGATTGACATACACACACACACACACACACACACACACACACACACACACACATACAATACATATACATATACATATACATATACATATACATATACATAGATACATATACATAGATACATATAGTCAAACACCCTCCCCATCCCTGTACCTCGAGAAAATAATTCCTCTGTATTTCCTCTTGGACTGGTTAATGTCTGGACATGGCTTTAGCTCCACATTCACTGTTCCATAGTCTCACTCCAGAGGTTGAGATACAAAAAGTTCTTCTGGTTGTACGGACCCTATGAATTTTGAATTGAAATGGTCTCCTTGAACTATATCCCCCCACTCGTTGAGTGAATACTTTTTGGATGTTTCCTGGTAAAAAGTTATTTGCCTTAAACATGATTTGTGCCGTTTGGAATTCTACCAGGTCTGTACATTTTAACAATTTTGACTTCAGGAATAATGCGTTAGTTTGATCAAGATATTTGGCATTGTGAATGATTCGTATTGCTTTTTTTTGTAGAATAGATACTGAATGTATTGAAATATTGTAGTTATTGCCCCAGATTTCAGCACAGTAATTCAGATATATAAGACTAGTGAACAGTAGAGAATGCGAAGTGATTTCTGATCTAGGACTTGTTTTACTTTGTTTAGTATGGAAATGCTTCTTGACAGCTTTGACTGTACATGTTTTATGTATAATTTTCAACTTATTGTGTCATCTATTATTAGCCCAAGAAATATAATCTCATGGACTCTTTCAATTTCAAACCCATCTATTTGTATTCGCATTTGCGTATTTTTGTTCTATGTTTACCGAACAGCATTAATTTTGTTTTACTCAAGTTTAATGATAGTTTATTTTTGTCAAACCATGTTTTTAATTTGTGCATTTCATTTTCTATGTTCTCCACTAGCTGTTCTAAATTCTCCCCAGAACAGAATATATTTGTATCGTCAGCAAATAAAACTAGCCTCAGTATATTGGATATTTTACAGATGTCATTGATGTACAGTATAAACAGTTTAGGACCCAACACTGACCCCTAGGGGACACCACAAGCTATGTCCAAACATGAAGAACAGTCATTTCCCAACTTCACATACTGCTGTCTATTGCTTTTAATCCAGTCTAAAACTATACCCCTGATACCATACCTTTCTAATGTATGTAGTAGGATGTCATGGTTGATTGTGTCCAAAGCTTATTTTATATCTATACAAATCCCTACTGCATATTTGTTGTGTTCAAGGGCAAGGGCATCTGTGATTATCCTCAATTGATTCCATAATTGCCAGTGATGTTGATCTGAATCCGTATGGACTGTCCGTGATTAATTTGTGCTTTTCTATGAATGTGTCCAGTCTGTTGTTGAATACTTTTTCTAGTATTTTTGAAAATGTAATAGAACATAGTCGTAATGTATTTAATCAACTGGGAAAGTGTCATTGTGATATCTTAAAATTGTTACCCTGTTGACCTGTAGCGTCTCCCTTATCTCCCTTACAGACAGTTTATCATTCAGCTGATGATAGGTTTTTGAAAGTGCAGTCGGAACTTTTAACAGTTCCAATGTAATCCGAGCATAATGTTATGTAACAAGCATTGTTTTATTAAGTACTCAGCCAAGATGTCTTTTCATTCCACTGTGGTTCATCCAGCATTATTTGTCTTTTGTCATCACTTTTCTATGAGACTACAAGAAGACCTTAAAACCTTCAAAACCCTCTCTTGCTTTAGAATACTTCTGGGTGGGAGAGTCCTATGCACACATGCACACATATGCACACACACACAGGCTGAGCCACATGCTGCTCTCCCTCTGTGAGTGTACAGAGATGAGCAGGACCGCACCTTTGGTGAGCGCTACCTGAAACTGGAGATGCAGGGGTACCAGTGAAGGGTTAGCTTTCATTGTCTTTGTACTTTTTTAGCCACTCCTGCTTCTTTTAAACATAGACAGGTACAGGGCGTTAAAAATAACATGCAATGCTCTGGTATTTTTTTTCTTTTTAAGTAATCTCTGTCACTCACACGGCCAGGTAGTCATGCATGGTTAAGGAGATGAAAGACCTTTAAAAAGTAGCGCTGGATATTCTGAGTTTCCTGTCAGCATTTCCAAACAAACTTTCTGTGTTTTTTGTGTGTCTTGTGGAATGAAACTGCTTGCGACAGTATCTGAGCCCTGAGGACACATTTTTTAACCTTTTTTTGGGAAGTAAATAATTGCTTTAAATATTTTTATTCCATTGTCAGTGAGAAGAATACTTTCACAACAGGTATGTATTTCTTTTAAATGAAATACTAAGTTCTCTTTGCTTGAAATGATTATGATGATTATTTGAACATGGCTCTGTGACATATCGCATGTGATTAAATCTAGCTTTTCTATAACATTTACAGTGTTTTTGCAATATTTGCACATTTATTATAATGTGAAAACATAGAGAGAATTAAAATATTCATACTGTACAGTTTCATTAAAGGCAGATATTTGAATTTGAATCCTATAAAGTTGTACATGTTCAGATTTGATAAGTTATCACCCTTTAAGCCTATCTATCTTTCGTAAGGACATTGGTATTTTCAAAATGAGGTCTTTCTTTTGTCATATATACTCAAGTTCTCCCAAATAAAAATTACTAGATTAAAATATATTGCTCATTAAAGGCAATGGTAGCCATGCACTGGTTCTCTGTTAATCGGTCATATAATTATCTCAGTTAGAGACTGACAGTATTATTCTGCGGTTTATCTCAGCCATTATGTTTTTTTTTTGTGGGGCCTGGATCTTTCAGCTGTTTCTCAGCACAGGGAAGTGAGAAGGGAGGGGAAGCAGAGCAGACACAAAAGGCAACATTATTCCCCAGCGGATCTGTGCTACATCCTACTATGAATGGAGTATTGAAAAACATAACATTGGGGACTAGATTCTTTTTCATCCCTCATAACTGAGCTATTTGTCCCAGAGTTTCGAAGGGTTTGTTGGTACAGTCTGCAAATGAGACAGTTGTGGTTCTTGAGTGCTGTGCTGGTGTTAAAATCCCCACCTCCCAATTGGACGCACAATGATCTCTCTGTGCTGCACCTCTTCAGACAATACTACAGTGCAAATAAAATGGACTGGACCTGGATTGAGACGGCAGAGTGGAGATTCTGTGGCTGCCGTCAAGTGTTTTTTAGTCACTAATGATCATACAAAGGTTGTGGGTTAAATGTAGGTTCACAAGCTTCTACCCCCCACCCCACTACTACCCCTGCCTCCAGCTCTCCAAGGAGACGAGAGGCGCCCCTGCAGTGTCATCAGGTGCCTAAGAGTTTTGGAGGGTTCTAGTGACAGATTGCAGGAAGCAGCGTTTATGTCTGACGATGGGGACCACAGAAAGCAGAAATGTCTTTTTGTGCCCCCTGGGCTCGGAATGTCCACTATCTCGAGGGGCCAATATCAAATTCTCCCCTCATCATCCCCTAATACACATTCCTGTGTAAGGTCAGGGGGAATTCTGCATCAGCAAAGAGACAAACAACCCAAGGTGGACTCACACACTGCGGTCTTCTAATAACAGCATGCTTCTAATAACACTACTCCATTAATTTCTGGGAAATGTGCTCTAAAATAATATATTCAAATTGAAATTCAATCATTCCAATGTCCGCATTTCATAATATAGAAGTATTTGAATGTTATGGCAGTATTATCATATCTGTTCAGTGTCTTTCCACAGCACTATCTAGCTTGATTCTCATCAGTGAATCCCAATGTTCTGTCTGAGGGAAAGTCCCTTGATTATCGCAAACCTCGAGCCAGGTGTCTACATCTGTCAAGCATTCCCCAGCTGTTGATGACGCTTGGAAGCTTTGAAATGAAGCCCTCACCGTTCTAACCATACGTTTAAAAAACGTTACCTCGATTCTCTTTTTGCGGCCTGTTACCTGCTGCCAGGTCGAAGCACGGCGGCCATTTTGTGCTTACAAAACAGCAAAGTAACTCTACTCCCTGTTCCTGGTGTATTATTGGCAACAGCAGAACTTTTCGATGGCATATGTCCATGTCTGGGAGACTGGGGTTTCTGTTTGCTCGGATAAGTGTTTGTGTGCCAAAATTACTTTCTTAACAGCTCTCATGTGATATGTGCATCACATATTCTCTAAAAACGATTTATTTTTTAGCTACAGGCTTTCCAAGCCTGACCTCCAACTACCATCGATACCTACTACAACACGATAACAACAGCTGCGGGCTACACCAGAGAAAACAATCCAATACTATAATTAGGCTACTTTGAACCAGTACAAAATTTAGTGATTGTTTTGTAGAAGTAGAAATCTGTCTACCAAACTTCCGTCTACCATAATTATGAAGTGTTTTTACTCGCAGAGCAGGACTTTGGGAACCTTGATGAGACTGTGTACATGTGTGTGTTGCAGGCGTCTGGTCAGTGAGGCAGCCATGCGAGGCCAGCGTGTGATGGAGAACGAGTGTAGGTGCTGGAACCCGGCCGTCTGGCTCCTGGTGTCCCTGCTGGGATCCCTCGTCTTGGTGGCCGTCAGTGTTCTGCGACACGGTGAGTGTGTGAGTTGGGTTGGGGGTCAGGTCAAGGCCACTTGTTCCAAGCTGTCTGACCGTAGGATTCTACCGGTCATCTCATGTTGTGTGATCAGGGAACACACAGCATTGGATGATTAAATTGCCAGTCATCAGTATTCTAAAGTAGATGGTTAGAAGCGATGTGCTACACCTACAGATAGGTTCTAAATAACGTTATAATCAATTTACATGATAACTCTCCTATTAACTCATAACTTTTCACCAGTAGATCATCTTAACCCAAGTAAGCAAAGTTACATCATGTATTTAAAATATTTAAGTGTTACTTTCAATACTGTTAAAGGTGGGGTAGGTAAGTTTGAGAAACCGTCTCGACATACACTTTTTGTTATATTCCATGGAATGCTCTTAACATCAAGTGCTTTGACAAAAAATCCATAAAAAATGTCATCTGTGGAAGCCGTAGTACTGTAAAAAGCACGACCAATCATTTTAGCCGGCCCGGTTAAAGTAACTGGATGGCCTACCTGCCTGTCAGCCTTCATCTGTGCACAAACTTATCTCGTGCCCTCATTGGTCATGTGCGCGTTCGTGAGTGTTGGAGGAGGGGCTCTGTAAGGAAGTCGGAGATTTTTTCCGGTTGTGTATTTTCTAATTCTAGCGCACTCGAGCTGGTTTCTCCAAAATTACCTAACCCACCTTTAAATAACAAATGTAGAAATACTTTTATCAAGCCAAACCATGACCTTTTTCTGAAACGTATTAACATACTGTAGTTTTGGCGAACTGAACTAAAAGTTAATCATAACGTGATCGCAACCCTTTCCTAACGTTGGACACACACACCGTTTTTTGAGTGATGATGAAAACAACTACCCATAACAGCCTGATAAGAATTTAAATAGGTAACATCTGGTAATTTACCTAAAACTTGTTTAAGTTACCACCGTCTAAAATACAGTTTTAACTTGAAAGGCCCAAGGGTCAAATGCTCTATCTCTCAATGACAAAAAAGTGAAGAAAAAAATGTGTGTTGTTGCTCCAAAATGTAAATGGGTGGTCCTTGGTTCATGCCACAGTCTTCCACCAAATGTTATGGAAATTGGGTCATTTAAAAAAAGAATCATAATGACAAAAAAACTCAAACAAAACAAAAGCATTACCTCATGATGGAGATAACTCAAGGCTGTGCATTTTCACGAGCAACATTATTTAAAGGATGGATGGTTCTTCAACAATATTGTAGTGCACCATTGTTAAATTTAACAATGTGAAATGTATATGGAAAAATAATAGGCCTTGAAAGTTTGTTTGAAGTAAAAAAAAAATGCTTTATTAAGTATATCCTTTCCTACAGGGGTACATTTTCATTCACTGGCACAGGACCAGAGGTTGGTTGTGTGAAGATTGAAACGGATTCCCAAGCATTATCTAAAGCCATTGTCTTTTAGTGTAACATTAAACAACATGTGTTAAATTAGGCACATCAACATTTTGCTGCTCACTTTCTTTGAAATGCTACATATAAGTTGTTACGAGGGTAAAGTGTGTAAATGCCATAAACTGAAACAAAATATGACACATGAGTTGGTTTCTAGTGTGTCAGTGCTGAAACGCATGTTTTAGGCGTGATTAATGCTCCAGAAGCGGGTGTTCCTGCAATTTAACTCCCTGTAGCTGAGTTACTAAAAGTTTGCCTGTCCTTTGTTAACAAGTGATAGCTGGCTAAAAGCCCTGAAGTTGTTTGAAGTGAGCCACGATCAATTCCACTCGCTGGATCAACAAATGGGAGGGAACAGGAGAGAGCTATTTACTCAAATGTGTTGTTACCAACTTACTGCTTTGTGTCCAAGCCAATGATATCCAAATGCACCATACTAACAGTTTTTTGTATTCAAATTTCAGGAGACTTGAAAATAAACAGACGAGCTGTAAACAGTAAGTAATATTTAAGTTAATTACATTATCATGTTATGATCTTAAGAACAAGAACTGTTTCTCCCTGGAATATAAACCATAGTAACCTGCACTTGAAGCCATTCTTGAAGCCGTAAACAGATTTGTTACAAGCCCTTGAAGCTAAAATAGATAGTTTTACTACATTCATATTAATGTGTTTCATGCCACAAACTAACGGGAGAAGCCTGTGAATCGACCTACATTGGGTGTGAAGGGTAGAAAAATCCCTCTTGTGTCATTGTCAGTTATTGAAATCGGAGATATTTGTCTTCAGGCGTAAGGATGTTCTTAATAAAAGGTCCAGAAACATCTTCCAGTGGGACTCTTGAGAAAATCTGTGTTATCTGTTGGGTAAATCTACATCCCTCCGTGATACACAAACAAAATATCTACATTAGGGATCGACCGATATTGCTTTTTCAAGGCCGATACCGATTATTAGTAATCAAGGAGACCGATAACCGATATTTGGAACTGATATATATTTGCAGTAAAATCAGAAAATCTTGGCGCCAAAATGTAGAATAACACAAACTCCAACACAACTTCTTTGAAATGCATTTCAGCATATATTATGTTCAATGAACTTTTAAACATCTTACAACTGGTTTCCTTTTTTTCAGTGCAGCCATCTGCAATGAGTTAGAGAGAGACAGAGAGTTAAAAGTAGGGCTGACATGCTTAACTAACAATAATGCTTAATTTATTATATCAAAACAATGCCTGTCTATCTAGCATAAAATCCCAATAAGCTGCTAGCAACTGCAAAACACTAGTGCTAGCTAATGTTTTGCAAACTATTAAAAGTGAGGCTATTACAGTAGACCTAACGTTAGTCTAGTAGCCTCACTTCTTATATGTTGCTAAACATTTGCTAGATACATGTTGGCTAGCTAATGAGTTTCACATATCAACCTGAAAAACTGCGAGGCTCCACTCGAAGCCTGGGAACAATACCTACCGGCCGCTGTGAGAAAGTAGAGACGAAGGTCCCACCTTGCGCAGCGATCATAGAGGGGGAACAGCAGCTCTCTGCGTGTCAGACAGGTAGGAGAGCGCCCAGCTGGATCCCTGACATCACTCACTCTGACCAGGCACTCCGTACAAAGTGTGTCAGAGGAAAAAGGAACATCCCTCCTATAAGAGGGGAAAAGGGCCGCTCTCCGCGTGCCGAGAGGCAGGAGAGAGGCGCACAGCTGCCTCCCTGACGTCACTCACTCCGACAGGACACCCAGTACAGGGTGTGTCAGAGAGGAATGGGAGACATCCCTCAAATAAAAATGAATAAACGAACAGGGGGAAGACCAAGATGCAGCAGTGCAAATATCTTCCACTCCACATTCCTCCGTGCAAAGCCGTGGAGGAGGAAATTCCTCTGGTGGAGTGCGCATTGATGTTCTCCGGGGGCTCCACCCCAGAGGAGACATGCCTGTGACACAGCCTCACACAACCTGTGTGACAGCCGTTGTGCAGACAGAGGTTGCCCGATCGAGCGCTCTCTATAGTGCACAAACAGGCGCTGAGAATGACGCAAGGCATTTGGTACTCGCGCAATATTGCGGAGACACCTCGTCGTGAACGTGTGTGGAGGTAGTAGGGACTCGCACAATGCGCGAGGTTCTACTCTCAGCCTCACTCTGCGTCGCACACCTCGGCGCGTCCAAACAGTTCGGGTGACCCCACGGAGTGCGGGACACATTTGGGTCGAACGGATAATTGACAGCCAATTATCGTCAGGTCCCGGAAGCAACGATTTTCGGAACCAAATTGGACAGCCAATTAGTAAACCCGGATTAATTCGCCGACGTGTGAAAATTAAACAAACTAATCATCGCGTCCCAAAAGGCGAAAACGTGTTCGACCAAAAATAGACAGGCGCCATTATTTGATTGTCTCGAGCGACCGTAAGGAAGACAGCTCTAGATGCAGATGTACCAATTAATTGGAATACTCGCCAATATTGCAGACACCCGTCGTGACGTGTGTGGAGGTAGGTAGGACCGCTCGCCACATCGCGTGTAATGTATTTGTTGCCTTCTTCCCTTTGCTCACACCACCTCCACCGCGTCGGCCTCCGGGAAAGCGGAGTGTCACCGGCCTCTCCCGTTACCGTAGTGTCTCTTCGGTGTCTTGTTGCGCCCGCCTTACTCGTCATAAATCCGACTCACGGTGGTCGCCAGTACGCGGCGTCGTGGTTGCCCGGTCCCGAGACGACGTGCTTGACGACCAAAATTGGATTGTTAATTGATTATTTGGGACGTCTGCGCGAGCATTAATACGTCCGAGGCCGCGGTGATTAGACAACTTAATTCATCTCCGCCCGAGGCGGACGTCTTCGGACGGCCAAAAAGTTGGAGCCAAGTTATTGGGACGTCTCGAGGCCGGAAAGGAGGACAGGCGTCTATGGCGGAGGATGTGTTGCCCGATTATGATTGGTGCTCGCGACAATATTCGGAGTACACCCGTCGGTGACGTGTGTGAGAAGTAAGGGAACTGTCGCACATGCGGCGAGTACTACTCTCGCCTCAGCGGTGTGCGTCGCACTACCTCCCGAGGGACCGCCCGTAGCAACGCGGTACTTGCTGTGTCTTGTAGAGCTCGTACAAACACGGCAGAGCAGAAGAATCATCACAAGAGTCTCACCTCGCGCCACAGGACTACCCTGGTTCGCTACCTCCTCGTCCGGACTAGTCGTCTCCTATGCAGGACGTTTCAAAACGGGAGAAGGGGGGTGGTCAAGTTACCCTTATGTTCCTTTTGTGAGGACCAATAGGGTCTCGATACAGAACGTCGAGGTTAGGCCTCACGACCTTGAGGACAAACTTTCTTCCCTAAAAAGGTTTCCCAAAGGAGTTTCCCCTTCCTTTAGTCCCCAAAAAGTGAGGGCAAATAAAAAAAGGATTAGGGCTTTTTCTGACCCCTTTACTCCTGTAGGAGCTAGACAGTCATACAGGTGGTACGGACTGCTAGTTTTTCTTGTCCACGAACCTTACACAAGTGGTCCTGAACTAGAACCAAAGTAAAGTGGACTTCCATAACGTAATAGGTAGCATAGTAGTAGGGTTTTGTGTCTTTTAAGCCAAAAAGGTAAGTTCCCTATATAGTTGCTCTGTAGTCAGACGGCACCTATAAAGACCAAAGGATACGTAACACATTCTTCCCGAACCTCGGTGATTGTGCTCCTCCCTACTCTCACCACCAAAAAAGAGAACCTGCTGGGACGGGGGATAAACGACCGAGCGAGGTCCCTCCTTCCAACCTGAAATGTCTGCCATTGTAGGAGGCATAGCGTAGACAGTTTGGACCCAAAGTATTATTTAACCTTCTTTCCGACAGGGAGAAAGGGAGAGGTTCTGGTTAGCTATAGACCCCTCACCTTCAAATTTATTTCGGGTCGGTACTCTCGCGCCGAGAGGCGCCGTCGCTCCCCTCCTCTGACTGTCAGAAGAGGAGGCCGCACAAGTGTTGGGTCGTGTCGGGAGAGGGCACTGCGTTCGACGAGCGCCGCAACCGCAGTCGACACAGTTGAACACTAAACTAGGGAACCAGGAGAAGGTTGTCCTCCCTGTGTAGGTGTCTCCCACCAAAAGTAAGCGACGTCTCGGGGACGACAAATTGGATAACCCAAATATTTGGACGTCTTGAGCGCCGTTATAGGAGGAGGTCTATTACGGAGGATGTGTGCCAGTATTTATTGGGGTTGCTCGTGGCAATATTGCGGACACACCTGTCGTACGGTGTGTGGAGAGTATGGGGGACCCGCACATGCGGCGAGTTACTCTCTCTGCCTCACTTTCCGTCGCACACCTTTTGGGGAGGCGTCGGGAAAAGGGGAGTGCCCGTCGGCGCCACCTACCCGCACCCGGAGCAGTGGTACTGCTGGTAATGCCCGTGACCAGTGTCTCCTTCGGAGCAGGGGGGTCGTCAAGGTACCCCTATGTTCATTGTGAGGGACAGTAGGGTCCCTTTGTCACCAGGAACGGGCGCCAAAAAATTGGGGGCGATTAAAGAAAGATGTTTAGAAGAGACAAGACGCCAAAAATGGGGGCGCATAAAAAGTTTTTAGACGGCAGCAACAGGACACGCGCGCACAGACGATACACGCGCGCGTGCCG